TGCCATGGCTGGGTGTAAGTGTCCCTCTGTGCCAGCTGCCCGAGGGGTGACACTTTGCAGGTCACATGGTGGCTTCCTCCAGGATCTGTTTTTCAGCCGTTTCCGTGGAAATGAGCAGGGTGGGCAGATCTCTTCGGACATGGGGATGAGTCCAGGAGCCACCAGTGGTTTCTCAGGAATGTGGAAGAGGAGCTGGAGCATGGCTTGCAGCTGGAGCTGTGCATGGCCTTGGGCTCAGGAAGGGCTCTGTCTTTGCCATCCTTTGTCTGCTCTCCTCTTGGGTGACACACAGCCTCCCTGCCCAGCGTGCTGCTGAAGGAGCCTCTCAGCCCTTCTGGTCTGAGGCTGTTCAACAGTGAACAGCCACCCCTGAGAGCAAGCTGGGGTTTGTGGGAAGCTGCATTTAAGACATCCAGTTTCTCTCTTCACTTCAGCAGTACCATAAAGGGGAGAAAATCGTGTTTAAAATATTCCATGAACTGAGTCAGAGGTAATCTGGACACTGTTTTCCTTTGCTCTGTAGGTCAAGCTGATGATGCGCACGGCATGTTCTTCCCGTCAGGACAAAATCTAATATTTCTTGGTGCCCACAACCTTCTTTAGAATCATAATAGGAAACTGAATGCCCTCAGAGAGCCGCAGGCAATATTAAAGCACTAATGATGCAATCCCAGTAAGAAAGGGAAGAATTATGCTGCCCTTGCTGGGCACAGTCCTGCTCTGAGGTGTCACCAGCAGTGTGGCACTGTTCCCAGCAGGCAGGGGCTGCTCACCAGGTTGGCTTGAAGCAATGGGATCCTGGTTCTGGCAGAGGCCCCTGGGAGATGTTAATTTAGACTGGTGCAGATGGTACTGAGGAGTTGTCCTCCCCCAGGGTTTTGTTCCCTAATTTTGGCTGCTCGGGTATGATTTGCCTGTGCCTGCTCTGAAAGTAGGAAGGTTTTCTCCTTGTTGTTTATGAGCCTGTGTGAAATACCTCGGGGGGAAGAGGGGAAGTGAGAAAATGTCATTGCAGAGACTATTTCTGGAGGCACGCCCCTGCGGGTGAGACACTGCTGGGCAGGCAGTGGTGTGGTACCCAGAGCCAGGCAGGCTGCTGGCCTGGGGGGGCTGGGGTTGGGCCCTGGTGCATTTTTAACCTTTACCTGGTTCAAATGCAGCTTGTCACCTGGATCTGTGGTAGCTGATGTGGCCCGGGGGGGCTGCCAGGTGTGTGGGGATGGGGAGCAGGAGGAGCTCCACTGCCACCACTGCCAGCCATGGATATCCCCCGGTGCTGGAGGGGGTGAGGTGGGCTTGTGCAGGGGCTGCCCCCCACCCTCCTGGGCAGCAGGAAATGGAGATGCTTCCCCATGGCCATCCCAGGGTCCTGCCCTCCTCTGAAATCCGGGGGCAGGCATGGGGGTCACCCTGTGCTTTAGCATGGTGTGAGGAGGAGCTGCAGGAGTGATTGTGACCTACTGACCGAGGTGAGCTCCTGGCAAAGGGAGTCAGGTCCTGCCCTGCTGTGCCTGTCCCTGTCACCCTTCCTGCTTCTGTGTCACCCCCAGCAGCCATGAGTTCCTGCAGGGCCCAAGCAGCAGAAGAAGATGCAGTAGATGATGCTGCGAGTGGAAAGGTGTGAAGCTGGGCAGTACCTGGTGCTGCTAGGAGAAGGTGTGAAGCTGGGCAGTACCTGGTGCTGCAAGGGGAAGGTGTGAAGCTGGGCACTACCTGGTGCTGCAAGGGGAAGGTCTAAAGCTGGCCGTGCCTCTGGAGCTCCCCAAGTCCTTCCTGCTGTGGTACAGCAAAGGTCAGTTCTTGCCACAGCCCCTGTCACCCCGTGTCCCACACCTCTGCATGCAGGGCTGGAGCAGCCACACTGGAGCCTGGCTACACCCACAGCTTTTGTTTTCAGACATTTTAATTGTGAGCAGCTCGGTAGAGCTGGGCAGAAATGAACTGGGAGGAGTGTAAGGAAGACATGACCTGGGGGAAGATGAAGCGAGAGGATAACGTCACACTGCTGTTGGTGCAGAGCTCTGACACAGATCATGCAGGCCAGGAGCAAACGTGTTCCGAGCAAATGACTGCTCCAGATATTTTGTAGCACCTGAATTATGGCTTCAAAGCCTGCAGCATCTTGTTTTTAAATAACGTTCTTAAGAGCTCTAAAATTAAAAGAATTTCCATCGTTTCATCCCTTTAAGGCTGTGGGCAGAAAAGTAGGAGTTGAAATGGCTGGATTTCAGTCCAAGTTTTTTCCCCAGAGATGAGTGATTTCTCTCTCCAGCTCCCTATACTCTCTCTCCCCCCACCCCTTTTTTTCACACATCAGATAGAATTCAAGTGCCTCTCAATTTAAAGCTTTTGGGTGCTTGTATGAGAACGCTGGGCTAGAGCTGCCTCTGAGCCAGGGGCCAGCACTGCATGGAGTGCCAGGGCAAGGGGATGCTGTGAGTCCACGCCAGGTGCCGGATCACTGGGGTAGGAGGTGAGTGGTCTGGGTGGACCGTGGCACTCAGGGGCTCTTTCTGGCCTTTGGGCTGCAGTGGCTCTGGGACTGGCTCCTGGATCCCGTGGGCATGGCAGGGCACGTGTGGCTGAGCAGCTCATCCCATCCTGGCTGTGGTGTTGGGCTCTGGCCCAGCACAGCCCAGCTCCCCCTGCCTCTGCCCTGCCCAGGGGGGCTCGGCACTCCCACCCCTCCTGCTCACCTGGACTGAGGGTGATCCCCTGTGCAGCCCAGCTCTGAGTGGCTGCAGGTGGGAGCTGGCGGTTGGTCTGGGGAGGTGGAAGGTGTGAGGACACCTGGGCACCACACCCAGCCTCTGGGCACCGTGCCCACCCCTGCAACAGGGCTCGCTTCCCCCCGGCTCTGCTGTGCCCTGCAGTGCCCAAAGCGTGGTGCGGGGAACAGCATCTGTTTGCTGGGGATTTGTGATGGATGGGAGCCCATACCCAGCTAGATGTCAGCATTTCCATTTCTGTGGGATTTCTGAAGCCTGGCTGCTAAAGGACAGGGGAGTGTGGGTGGTGGTGAGGCTGCAGATGCCACTTCAGCCTTGCAGAGCTGCCAGGGAACCAGGGGATGGAAAACCTGTGTGCCACAGGCAGCTGCATGGGAACTAGTGGGAGATGCCCTGCCGGGCTCTGGGGTGGTGGGATCTGTTTGTCGTGAGGGTTGAGGTGATGGGGTTCTGCCTGCTGAGGTTTGATGCCTTTGGTGGGATGTCCCCTGAGGGGCACTGGAGGGGTGGGTGGAGGTTCCCCTACCAGGGGGCCAGCCTGGTGCTGTGCCTGCAGCACTACCATGGGGGGACAGAGAGGAAGAGGCAGACCACCACGCTGCCCCCAGCGACCCTCTGGCTCGGGCCTTGGTGGCTGGGGCAGCCGCAGGGCACGATGTGTGTGGGTGCCACGGTGTCCGCCGCTCAGCCCCCTGCCCGTGCGGCGCTGCTGGTGGTCCCGCCATTCGGAGAAATACGATATTTGCAGCGTGAGGTTGCGAAAAGCCTGTGGCAGCGAAAAGAAAAGGAAATGACTTTTTTTTTGGTGGTGTTTGTGTGTGCGCCTGTGCATGCGCTGCTGCGCCGGGGGCGGCCGGCCGGGACGAGCCGGGGTCGGGCAGAAAGCGCCGCTCCGGCTGTCCCCGCACGGCCACCGCTGTCCTGTCCCGCCGCCGCTGTCCTGTCCCGCCACCGCTGTCCCCGCGCCCTGGCAGCCCCGAGCCACCAGCATGTTCCAGAGGAAGCGCAGCGTCTCCTTCGGCGGCTACGGCTGGTGGGTGCTTCCCCTTCTCCTCGCTCCGCCGGGAGCCGGGTGAGGAGCTTCCTCCCCTCCCTTCGGAGCAGGAATCCCGGCCGCGGTGCCCTCGGGCAGAGAGAGCCCTTCCCCCGGCCCGTGCCAGCCCGAGCGTGCGGGGGAAGGACGGTCCTAGCCCGGCTCAGCTTCGGCCCGTTAGCTCCGGGATGGGCGCTGCGGGCACCCCCGGGGCTCCCGCGGGCACGTCACCTGCGGGCTGGCTGCCCCTCACCTGCGGGCTGGCTGCCCCGCACCTGCGGGCTGGCTGCCCCGCACCTGCGGGCTGGCTGCCCCGCACCTGCGGGCTGGCTGCCCCGCACCTGCGGGCTGGCTGCCCCGCACCTGCGGGCTGGCTGCCCCGCACCTGCGGGCTGGCTGCCCCGCACCTGCGGGCTGGCTGCCCCGCACCTGCGGGCTGGCTGCCCCGCACCTGCGGGCTGGCTGCCCCGCACCTGCGGGCTGGCTGCCCCGCACCTGCGGGCTGGCTGCCCCGCACCTGCGGGCTGGCTGCCCCGCACCTGCGGGCTGGCTGCCCCGCACCTGCGGGCTGGCTGCCCCGCACCTGCGGGCTGGCTGCCCCGCACCTGCGGGCTGGCTGCCCCGCACCTGCGGGCTGGCTGCCCCGCACCTGCGGGCTGGCTGCCCTTCACCTGCTGGCTGGCTGCTCCTCACCTGCGGGATATCTGCCCCTCACCTGCGGGCTGGCTGCCCCTCACCTGCGGGCTGGCTGCCCCGCATCTTCCCCTCGCTGCTTTCCCTGCTGCCTGCTCCTCCTGCACTCAGCGATGCTTGCAGCCGCCTTGGGGTGTGCAGCAAGCTCCCTCCTGGTCCGGGGCAGGTCCCCAGCACCGCTGGCACCTGCAGGAGTCATCCGTTCCTTGTGTGTCCTCAGCAGAGCCTGCAGCCCGAGCTCAGCGGGATGTGCGCTCCCGTGTCTTCCCTCTGAGAGTGCTCATCTCTAGGGAAAGAGCTTAATGAAACGGCACGGTTCACCCTCTGGCCTCTCTCCAGGTCTCCTCTCCGAGGTGTTTCATGCCTGTTCCGTGTTGCTTGTGCTGGTGTTTGGGGCAGAAGGCTGCTCTGCTCCCTCCCCGTTGGCAGGGGCAGCCCGGGGTTTTCAGGGAATGCGGTGCCCTGGGCTTGGAGCTGCCTGCCAGCGGCTGGGGGAAATGCTGAGTAACTGCGAGGGCAGCGGGAGCGCCACGGCTTGCGGCAGGGTCCCCTGGGGTGGAGCACACGCCTCGCTGAAGCCCAGAGCTGCCTTGGCCCGGCTGGGCTTTCTTTGCTTACAGAGGCCAAGGGAGCACTTGGACAGACTTCTGTACAAATAAGTTTTGTGGTATGCGGGCTCATCTTGTGGCGGCCAGATCGCAGCTCTGCCCCACGGTCGCTGCTGGGAGCAGCGGCTCTGCGGCCCTGGCTGCCCGGGGGCATCCCGGGGGCTCCTGCCCTGGAGCAGAGCCGTGACCCTCCTTGGCAGGGCGTTCGGGGCCAAGGCTGGGCCCTGCTCTGGCTGCCCTGGCTGCCCGGGGGCATCCCGGGGGCTCCTGCCCTGGAGCAGAGCCGTGACCCTCCTTGGCAGGGCGTTCGGGGCCGGCGGGGCTCTGCTCTGGCCGGGCTCTGCTCTGGCTTCTTTTTCTTGCTGTGCTTTGGCATTTGCGGGGGAAAGAAAATCACGAGTTGGAGAGTCACTGAGGAAAACGGGCTCAGCCAGCTGGAGGGGGGCTGCGCTGGTTTTTGGGGGGCTGCGCTGGCTCTTGGGGGGCTGCGCTGGCTCTTGGGGGCTAAGGCAGCTCTTGGGGGGCTGCGCTGGTTTTTGGGGGGCTGCGCTGGCTCTTGGGGGGCTGCGCTGGCTCTTGGGGGGCTAAGGCAGCTCTTGGGGGCCTGCACTGGCCCTGGGGGGCTGTGCCGCCGGTGCAGTTGGGGCTGGGGGAACAGGACAGGGCTTTCCTTTAGACACCACGCCGGTATCTGCAGGGTGAGAGCGGCGGGGTGCTCCATCCTCCCGGGGCTGTGGGGTGGGGGCTGCTCCAAGGGTCGCTGCCCTTCTCCCCGGGCCAGGCCCCCCTGGAAAGCCCTGCGGCTGCCGGAGAGCGTTCCCGGGGCGGGCACCGGCACAGGAGGGACCTGCCACAGCCCCGTAGCTGCACCTGCCTCTTCTCACGGTCCCGGCCGACCCACCCTTCCTGCGGGGCTGCGTGCGAGGTGCCTGGGCACACCCAGCTGCCGCCTGCTGTGCCTGCACTCGCTGTTTCCAGCCTCCGCTGGGCTGCAAATTGCTGGTTTTTAAACTCTCCACCAAGGGCATCTGCTGCCGCGAGGTCCCGGGGCGGTGTGCTCGGCCGGGGGGCAGATGCGGTGCCCCCGGTGCGGCTGTGGGGATGCGCTGGGGGTGCAGAGCCCTTGGGAGCGCTCCCAGGCCGGTGCTGCCCAGGGCTGCGGGGTGTGCCCACTTTCATTTTGCCACCTTTGGGCAGGGCAGGGCAGGGCGGACAAACGGCTCCCACAGTCACGCTGCAGCTGCGGTTTCCCAAACATGGGAGTTCATTTCCTGTGGGTTTGTTTTTTTGGTTTTTTTTTTTTGTTTTTTTTTTTTTTTTTTTTTTTTTTTGGGTTGTTGTTGTTTCTTTTCCTCCCCTTCTCACTGTAAGAGGCCAAATAACAACAAGTGTTTTTTCTCCCCGTGGCTCCGGAGGGAGCCTCTGGTGCAGCCCTCGCTCAGGGACAGGTCCCATGGGAGCTGCCCCAGCCACCCACTGTCCCTGACCTGCTTTGCCTCTGCCACCGGGTTTGGAGACAGCTCTGCTCCCCAGCGTGCTCTGATGTTCGGTGTGATTTAATGATCAATGAGGTCTGGGCAGGCCTGTAAGGTATTAAGTCACAATAGCAGGTGCCCCAGATCTATTTTTAGGAGCAGCAGCGTGCTGGCTCTCCAGTGCAGAGCATGGAAGCTGACGCTTGGGGAGATGCCTGGAACAGAGCTCCCGTGGCCAGGGGGTTTTGGGAGGGTGAGGCTGCTGCAAGGGAGGGACCCTGGGAAAGGTCGTGGTGCCTGTGCCAGGCTCAGCTGTGCCCCAGAGTGCCAAGGACCTGCCCCCTGTGCCACCCGCGAGTGCAGCCCCCTCCTGACAGCCCAGCCCAGCCTGGGGGGGACACAGCGAAGCTGCAAGGAGGGGGGAAGCTGCATTTCTGTGGCCACGCCGTGTTCTCTGCGATCACAGTGCAAAACAAGAGGGTGTTGGGGGTGTTATTTTGCTGTTTGGTCTTTTTTTGAGATGTGGAATTGATTCCATGTGGCAGATAACAGAGCATTTTCAGTGACTGCCAAAAGACATTATTTTGCATTTTATGACATTACTATGATTTGCATTAATTAATATTAATATGACCGTAACCACAACGATTCTGAGGAGATGAGCACTCAGTACCAGTGCCAGGGAAATGAGTGAAGCAACTGGGGCTCCTGGTGCCACATGAGCCAGCCAGGGCTGGGAGTGATGGGGCTGCTCTGTGTTTGTCTGCCTGGGGCAGTTCAATGTGGGGGTTTGGGGGGATCTTCCCAGCACGTCAGGGCTGCCACAGCCCCATCATCTGTAAATACCTGCTTTGTGCTTTGGGGAGGGCTGGGACACAGGAATGCCCTGCTCTGCTTCCCAGCTCACCTCTGCCATTCCAGACTGGGAGGCAGCCGTTCTGCACCAGCAGGGAACTAGGGGCATCTTTTCTTGCTCGCTGCCAGGCTTCACTTTGGGTTAAACCTTGGCTGGTTTTGTTTTCCGATGAAATCTTTCTGTGTCTTCCCGTGTCAGCCGGAGCGCTGGCACCTCCAAAGGACGTGCTGAGGTCGTGTTTGGCAGCAGCCCCTGGTGCCCAACCCCCTGCCAGCTACATCTGCCCGCAGTAACACCCTCCTCTGCTCTCTCCTCAGGATCGACAAGACCATGCTGGCCAGCCTGAAGATCAAGTGAGTAGCCGGCTCCTCTCCGGAGCAGCGGTCTCCCGCGGGCGCGTGGGGCTGGCTCCGTGTGTGGGGGATGCTTTCCCGGGAGCTGGGCTCCAGCTGCTGCCGTGGAATCCAGCTGTGTCCGCCACGCCGGGCTGCACTCTCGCTCCTGTCCCACAGTCTGTGGACCAGAGTTCAGCGAGCACGGTGACACATCGCTGTGGGAGCAGCGGGCTGAGGCGTGGGGCAGCCCGCAGGGCACCAGCTCCGCCTCGGGGGCAGTGGGGGTGGGAGCCAGCCGGTCAGGCTGGCACTGAGCTCCTGTGTGCAAATCCTGTGAAGTCTGGAGGTTTTGTGTTTTGTTTTTTCGTCTGGAGAGGTGGTGAGCGTCGGTGGAACAGTGAGTGCCTGTGACCCAGCTCCTCTCCTGTGCTGCTGAGGGGCTCTGGGCACTGCTCCGGAGGGGGTGGAGATGTTACTGGGGTCCAGGAGAGTCTGTGACCTGGCAGTGTTGCTTGGTGGGTCCCTCGGGGATTTGCCACTTGCTGGACACTGCTTGACACTGCTGGGTGGTGTGGGTTGTGCAGCTCTGGCAAGGTGGCCGCTGGGCCAGGTCCTGTGCTGTGATGGAGTGAGTTGTGTGAGGTCACCATCCCTGCTGGGGCTTGTCCTGGGCTGGTGGGGAAGAGAAGGTGGTGAAGGTCTGGGAGTGGTGGCACGATGCTCTCTGCTCCCCCAGCACTCGGCCTGCCTCCCGTTCCCACCAGCTTTGTCCTCCTGGCTGCACATCCTGGGTGCTGATCCCTTCCCTCCCACTGCAGTGCATCCTCCCCTCTCCTGGATTCTGGGTTCCTGGAGCTCCGGGTGGGGGTTCCCCTTGTGAGCACAAGTGCAGCTCCAGTGCCGTCAGCTGCACCCTGTGCTGATGCAGAAATGCTCTGGCCCAGCCTCCCCTGGGCTCCAGGCAATGCACAGGGCGGTGGCTCATGCGGTTTCCCTCTATAATCATTGTGCAAATTATTCATTAATGGAAAAGTATCCGGAAAGCCTGGGGGAGCTGCTGCCTGGGCGAGCCAAGTGCCCGTTGTACATGGCACGGCAGAACCGCCGCGCTCCGCTCGCTGCTCAGGTTGTGCTGAGCTAATGAGGAGTTTAAATCAATGCTTTCCACTTTGGGAGTGCGGGGATTTCTCTGCAGATTTTCCTTTTTCCGTGAACTGAGAAGGCCTGAGCTGCTCTTTGCACTCTGCTGGTCGCGGTGCCCTGGGTTTTTCCGGGGGTTTTTGCAGCAGTTGTGCAGCAGAACCCCCCTGTACCCTCCTCTCTCCACCGTGCCAGGCTTGGAATGCCTGCTTGGAATGCTGTGCCAGTGCTGTGGGCACGCTGCCAGGCTCCTGCCTGGGCAGGGAGAGGATCTGGGGCCACGTTTCTCTCCTTGTCTCTGCCTTTCCTGCCCCGGCCAGAGGAGGGAGTTTCCTTGGAGCCTTTGATGAACATCCACTGCTGTTTGCAGCCCCCGTGCTCCTGGTCTGTGGGTAGGCTGCTTCATTAAGCGGTTCTGTAATTGGGGCTCAGCCAGAGCCACGTTTCGTATTTGTAAAAGCTTTTAAAATTACGAAAATATTATAAACCCAAACTTTTGGGTTCTTAGCGCCCTCTTGTTATTGCTGCAGCCTCTGCCGGAGTGTCCTGGTCTAACCCGCTGCACAGAGGCACCAGGCACGGGAAGTTTTCTTTCCCTGGATAAGTTATTACCGAAAGTCTTCCCGCATGCCCTGGAGCCCCTCAGGGAGCCTGGTGCTGCTGCAGACATCAGCAGTGACCGCAGAGGCAGGGGCGGCCCCGCGGGCAGTGCCAGGGTGGGCGATGCAGGGCAAGCCCTGCCTGTCCTGCCCTGCCCTGTCCTGCCCTGTCCAGGGACAAACCCGCCCGCACAGTCAGGATAAACTCACCCACGCAGTGGCACTGGGCATCCAAGCAGTTCTCCTTGCCTGCCGCTCGTTTTCCTCCTTAGTTCGGGTTTCATCTGTTCCTATGGTAACCGTGGATGTGTCGGAGCACTGGAGCTGCAGAGGGGGAGCTCGGAGGGGCGATGCTGGGGAGCCCTGGCAGCACAGGCAGGGCTCAGCCGACCCCTCTGGTGGCAGCAAAGGTGCCAGGAGGGCAGGGAAGGTGTTGTACAGGGAGCTCTGGAGCTTGGCTCTGCCTCTGCCCCAGGGAGCTGTGCCGTGCCCGTGCTGCCGGGCCCTGAGAGTGCCAGTGCCCAGCCAGGAGCTGCTGTGCCCTGTCCCAGCCCCCGGGTTTGACTGTCCTGGCCACGGGCCTGCCCTGGCTCTGCAGCCCCCTGTCCTGGGCAGGAGCAAGCTGAGCCTCTGTCTGGGGGAGTCTGGGAGAGGCTTGGGGATACTCTGCTGGCTGTTTTTGGGGGTGCACATCCCCAGGGGTGGCAGCAGGCACTGGTGCTGCTGTGCTCAGTGCTGGGGCTGTTGAGAGCTGCTGGGGCTGGGGCTGGCCCCAGGGAGCTGATGGAGACTGAGACACTTGGGCAGTAAATGGAATTTGGCATTTGCAGACCCTGGGTTCTGTTTGGACCAATTCCATTGTGATCCCTACTTTTCTGTTCCATTTTTTTATTCCTTACCCACTTCAGGGAAAGCACTTGGAGCTGCTGAGTCCCCTGGGCTGGCAAAAGTGGAATCGTGTCCAGAAGCAGCTCCCCAGCCTTGGCTTGGTGTTGGTGTTTTCTTGTGTCACATGAAGCCTCTGTAGGGAGCTGGAAGTGTCTCCAGGCTCTGGGGTCCCCTTGGTTCTCCTGGGGGCACAGCTCCACGCAGTCCTAGTCAAACATGGGGTGTTTGAGGTCAGCTTGTGCTGCCAGGAAGGGAAGACCTGAGCCAGATGGCAGCTAAGCTGCTTCCCTGGTGGGAAGGTCACCCTGGAGGAAAACAGCAGCCTGCAAAGGATCTTTGCATGTCAAAGAGCAGTTCTGGCCAGGTGAGCCAGCCGGATGGGTTTGCCTCTCACAGCAGCCCAGCAAGTGCAGGAGTTCCCAAGAAAGCAGGCAGAGACCCTCGAGCCCCCTCAGCCTTGTAGTGGGGGTGCTGGAGGTGGAAAAGTGGGATGGGGATTGTGGGGCCCTTCCTCCTCCTCTGTGGGACAAAGTGGCAGGGTAATGTCCCATGGGGGCTTCAGCAGCCCTTTACCTGCTGACAGCTCCTCAGCCCTTGTGCTCTGGTTATTTGCTCACTGGTGTTGATGGGGTGTGCTGGGAAACCACAGGGTGTTAAAGAAAAAAAATCAGTAAATCCCCCAATCCCCCCACCCCCCACTTCAGGCAGAGTCACCTCTTCTTTTAGCCTCATAAAGCAAAAATAGCAACAAAATAATCATGTCTCTGTGGAATGGAGGAGCCATGCACAGCAATTACCGGGAGTCAGTGTGTGAGCAGTCAGAACTCACATGAAAGAGCATGTGATGCTCCTCTGCTGATGGGAGCAGGAGGATGGAGGTGGGAAGAGATGAAAGACTCACTCGACCTTCGTAAAAAGAGCTGTGTCCAGGCCTGAGGCTCTTTAATATTTGATGGGCTGGAGCTGAGTTAATGGGAAGATGTGGGAATGATTTAGCATCTTGGAGCTGGCTGCACTGACTGTTGCACTGATCTTGGAGGTTTGTGCTTGGGTCCTGTGAGGACAAGGGCTGGCGAGCAGATTGCATCTAAGTGAATTCCTTTGACTTATTAGCACTTCATAAATGGATAATTGCATGTAAATGTATGTTTTGCAATTATATTTAGCCGGAGAAGCACATGCAAAGGGAATGCTGTCCAAACGACTGCAAAGCAGCCAGCTGCAGCGCAGGGAGGCTTCCCCTCTCCGTGTCTTTGGAGCTGCTCCTCTCCATTGCTGAGGGGCGTGGAGCCAGCCCCAGCAATGCCCCCACCAGCCCCACGCCCTGGATGCTCTCCCAGCCCTGGAGCCTGGCACTGACCCCTCCTGCCAGTGTGCCTGGGAAGGACTCAGCGTGCAGGGCCGGGCTGCGAGGAGCGCTCTGGACTTGCGGGAAACTTTAAACTCAGTCAGAAGCAGTTGAGCTGGAGGGCAGGATGAGGCTGGGCTGTGTGTCCCCATGGGTCAGAGCTGGGTGGGTGCTCGTGGTGCGGCCAGCAGAGTGCAGGGCCAGCTCGGACAGCCGTGGCATGCCAGGCACAACGAGTCCTTGTGTGGGCAGCAGGTCTGTGCCTGGGTTCCTGCTGGGATGAAGCCCCTTGCAGTGCCAGGGACCTGCAGGTGTGTGTGCCCAGATGGTGACGGGTCTCTGCTGCTGCCACAGCTGGTGGCTGCCACCGGCCCTGCTCGCCGTCAGCTGCCTGAGCTGCCTGCCAGGATGGTGGCAGGGCCATGGTCTGTCCTTCCCCGCCAGCCCAAGGACTGGTGGGAGATTTACAAAATCCAGCCAGTCCCAACGTCTCCCTGCTATCTCTGGCGGGCAGGCGGGAGCGCTTCCCTCTTCGTGGAAGGGCAGTTATCGCCCTGGCTGCCTGCCCACACCCAACCCTCACCCACACAGCATCCTCCCAGCACGTCTCACAGCCTGCCTGGGACACAGGAAGCTTTCACAGGAGGAGGAAGGTGCTGTCAGCTCTGAGGACTCGGGGTGTTTCAGCCATTTAACCTGGTAAGCCTTAGCTATATAAAATTTCAGGCCGGGGGAATGGGTGCTGGCACAGCTCCACCGAGGCTCCCCCTTGGTGTTTGACTCCGTGCTTCCCTCCTGGTGGCCTGCTGAGGTATTTGGGTTAGTGTGCGGGTCTGCTCCTGCAGACAGCCCAGGCACGGAGCAGCAGGGCTGGGATCTGGCGCTGCTCTGGTGACGTTGGAGGTGGCGCAGCGGCGCGAGTGCCGAAATGCTGCTGCTGCTGTCAGACAGCCTTCCCATATTTAAAGCTAGATTATCCTCAATTACATCTGCCCAGAGGACTGAGCAGCCCCACATGGGTCTATTTTTAGCTCTGTCTCAGA